TCTTACATTCACTCTGTTGGCTTTTTATATTACAATTACTCTTCATTGTTGGCTTTTTATCTTACATTCACTCTTCAATGTTGGCTTTTTATATTATATTTACTCTTCATTGTTGGCTTTTTATCTTACATTCATTCTTCATTGTTGGATTTTTATATTACATTTACTCTTCATTGTTGGCTTTTTATCTTACATTCACTCTTCATTGTTGGCTTTTTATCTTACATTCATTCTTCATTGTTGGCTTTTTATATTACATTCACTCTTCATTGTTGGCTTTTTATCTTACATTCATTCTTCATTGTTGGCTTTTTATATTACATTCACTCTTCATTGTTGGCTTTTTATCTTACATTCACTCTGTTGGCTTTTTATATTACATTTACTCTTCATTGTTGGCTTTTTATCTTACATTCACTCTTCATTGTTGGCTTTTTATATTAAATTTACTCTTCTTTGTTGGCTTTTTATCTTACATTCATTCTTCATTGTTGGCTTTTTTATTACATTTACTCTTCATTGTTGGCTTTTTATCTTACATTCACTCTTCATTGTTGGCTTTTTATCTTACCTACATTCTTCATTGTTGGCTTTTTATATTACATTCACTCTTCATTGTTGGCTTTTTATCTTACATTCATTCTTCATTGTTGGCTTTTTATATTACATTTACTCTTCATTGTTGGCTTTTTATCTTACATTCACTCTTCATTTTTGGCTTTTTATATTATATTTCTTCTTCATTGTTGGCTTTTTATCTTACATTCAATCTTCATTGTTGGCTTTTTATATTATATTTACTCTTCATTGTTGGCTTTTTATTTTACATTCATTCTTCATTGTTGGCTTTTTATATTACATTTACTATTCATTGTTGGCTTTTTATCTTACATTCACTCTTAATTGTTGGCTTTTTATCTTACATTCATTCTTCATTGTTGGCTTTTTATCTTACATTCACTACTATTGTTGGCTTTTTATCTTACATTCATTCTTCATTGTTGGCTTTTTATATTACATTCACTCTTCATTGTTGGCTTTTTATATCATATAGAAAATCATCTTAATCTTAGTTCTTATTATAAGAAAACTTGTTATCATCGTCACAATGGGGGCGCTGCTTGCGAGTTAAATCTACAAATCTGCAAATAACTCTAAGGATATTCAAGATATTCATGAAATTATTTTTCAAAAACCTTTCCGGTGATATACCTAATAATATCCCAAAATTTCACGACGATTGGATGTATGGTTTTTGAATCTATAGAGTACAAACAAACAGACATTCAATTTTATATATATAGACTAGCGGATGTGCCCGGCTTCGCCCGGGTTTTACCCGAGTGAATGTTTGTCTAACGAACATTTGTTAAAACAATTCTCTAAAAACTTATTAAAAAAAAAAGATATATTTTGATAATTTGAAACTTGTAAATTTGAATCTCTCGATAAAGTAAACATTTTTTCCCGGTCCCTGTGTGCCGTGTCATCCTGAATTTTGTCTTTCCTAATTTTCTACATTAGAAAATCATAGTTTTATCTAGTGAACATTTTTTCCTGGTCCCTTGAAAAATACTCGATAAGTTGAATAAAATCAATATTAATTGGTTCCCTCGGTAATTGGAAGTTAAAGGAATAGTATCTTCGCCTTGGAATTGTATCATTATTCTTCACATCATTCACTCTTCATTGTTGGCTTTTTATCTTACATTCATTCTTCATTGTTGGCTTTTCATATTACATTTACTCTCCATTGTTGCTTTTTATCTTACATTCACTCTTCATTGTTGGCTTTTTATCTTACATTCATTCTTCATTGTTGGCTTTTTATATTACATTCACTCTTCATTGTTGGCTTTTTATCTTACATTCATTATTCATTGTTGGCTTTTTATATTACATTTACTCTTCATTGTTGGCTTTTTATCTTACATTCACTCTTCATTGTTGGCTTTTTATATTATATTTTTAGATTGAGATTATTAGCTAGTATGTAAAAAAATTAACTCTGTTGAAATTTAATTTTGTATTTATATATAAATAAAATTAACTCTGTTGATTTTTTTTTGTGTTTAATCGATAACAGCGAAGTTACGCATGTTAATGTTAGGGAAAAATATTTTGATGTTAAGCAAAACCTGCTCCATCTCGTTTTACATAAATGTTGAAAATTTGGTTGAAATTGATGCATTGTAACGAAAGTTTTTAGTGATGTCCTCTTATGAAATTTGCATTTTATTAATCTATATATATATATATATATATATATATATAATATATAAAATTGAATGTCTGTCTGTCTGTTTGTCTGTCTGTTTGTTTGTACTCTATAGATTCAAAAACCATACATCCAATCGCCGTGAAATATTTGGATATTATTAGGTATATCACCGGGAAGGTTTTTGAAAAATAATTTCATGAATATCTTGAATAACCTTAGAGTTACTTCCAGATTTGTAGATTTAACTCGCAAGCAGCACCCCCATTGTGACGATGATAACAAGTTTTCTTATCACTAAGTTTGTTATCTTAAATATTATTTATCAAAAGTAAGATTGTCTCAGGATGACACGGCAATGTGACACGGGAAAAAATGTTCACTAGATAAAACTATGATTTTCTATATGATATAAAAAGCCAACAATGAAGAGTGAATGCAATATAAAAAGCCAACAATGAAGAATGAATGTAAGATAAAAAGCCAACAATGAAGAGTGAATGTAATATAAAAAGCCAACAATGAAGAATGAATGTAAGATAAAAAGCCAACAATGAAGAGTGAATGTAAGATAAAAAGCCAACAATGAATAGAAAATGTAATATAAAAAGCCAACAATGAAGAATGAATGTAAGATAAAAAGCCAACAATGAAGAATGAATGTAAGATAAAAAGCTAACAATGAAGAGTGAATGTAATATAAAAAGCCAACAATGAAGAATGAATGTAAGATAAAAAGCCAACAATGAAGAGTGAATGTAAGATAAAAAGCCAACAATGAAGAGTAAATGTAATATAAAAAGCCAACAATGAAGAATGAATGTAAGATAAAAAACCAACAATGAAGAGTAAATATAATATAAAAAGCCAACAATGAAGAGTGAATGTAAGATAAAAAGCCAACAATGAAGAGTAAATGTAATATAAAAAGCCAACAGAGTGAATGTAAGATAAAAAGCCAACAATGTAGAGTGAATGTAATATAAAAAGCCAACAATGAAGAATGAATGTAAGTTAAAAAGCCAACAATGGAGAGTAAATCTCTATATATATATATAAAAGTCAATTTCTGTCTGTCTGTCTGTTTCGCGATAAACTCAAAAACTACTGAACCAATTGGTACCATATTTTGCATTTCGCTTTTTATAAACCTGAGGAAAATTTTCGGCTGCATTCGATTAGTATTTTTGGCTATATCTTTTTTTTTTTCATTTGAAGAACTTTTTTTTACGCGGACTAATCCGGAATGGAATGAATACCTAAATATGGCCATTTTTTTAAGCATCGGTGGTTCAGTGGTAGAATGCTCGCCTGCCACGCGGGCGGCCCAGGTTCGATTCCCGGCCGATGTATTTTTTTTTTTACAATTTTTAAAACTCTTTTATAATATCTTATATATATAAAATTGAATGTCTGTCTGTCTGTACTCTATAGATTCAAAAACCATACATCCAATCGCCGTGAAATTTTGGGATATTATTAGGTATATCACCGGGAAGGTTTTTGAAAAATAATTTCATGAATATCTTGAATATCCTTAGAGTTATTTGCATATTTGTAGATTTAACTCGCAAGCAGCGCCCCCATTGTGACGATGATAACAAGTTTTCTTATCACTAAGTTTGTTATCTTAAATATTATTTATCAAAAGTAAGATTATCTCAGGATGACACGGCAATTTATTTGCGACAAGAATAATGATACAATTCCAAGGCGAAAATACTATTCCTTTAACTTCCAATTACCGAGGGAACCAATTAATATTGATTTTATTCAACTTATCGAGTATTTCTCAAGGGACCGGGAAAAAATGTTCACTAGATAAAACTATGATTTTCTAATGTAGAAAATTAGGAAAGACAAAGTTCAGGATGACAAGGCACACAGGGACCGGGAAAAAATGTTCACTTTATCGAGAGATTCAAATTTACGAGTTTCAAATTATCAAAATATATCTTTTTTATTTTTTAATAAGTTTTTAGAGAATTGTTTCAACAAATGTTCGCTAGACAAACCTTTACTCAGGTAAAACCCCGGGCGAAGCCGAGTTCGTTTTATAAGTTTAAAGAGAATTGTTTTAATAAATGTTCGTTAGACAAACATTCACTCGGGTAAAACCCGGGCGAAGCCGGGCGGGTCCGCTAGTATAGATATAATATAAATGAGTTTTAAAAATTGTTTAAAAAAATGCATCGGCCGGGAATCGAACCCTGGCCGCCCGCGTGGCAGGCGAGCATTCTACCACTGAACCACCGATGCTTTAAAAAAATCAAATTCATTTATCGTCGCGACCAGTGCTGCGCCCTAGCGGTAAAAGACTGGAACTAACGCTTTTTGGTTTTTTATTTAAAAAAAAAGCACATTAACTTTTTTAGTTTTTTGAATAGCCTATATGTTAAACGAAATCTTCAGCTACCTACATGCGAAATTCCATAATGATTGAGTCAGTAGATTTTGCGTGATGCGATAACAAACATCGATTTCGCATTTCATTTTTATATATATAAGGATTTATATATAAATAAAATTAACTCTGTTGAATTTTTTTTTGTATTTTATCGATAACAGCAAAGTTATGTATTTTAAAGTTAGGAAAAATATTTTGATGTTAAGCAAAACCTACTCCATCTCGTTTTACATAAATGTTGAAAATTTGGTCGAAATTGATGCATTGTAACGAAAGTTTTTAGCGAACACCACTTATGAAATTTCCATTTATATAGAAGATGCCTTTTTCTTAATCCTTTCCTTATATATATAAAAATGAATTGTTTAAAAAAAATTCATCGGCCGGGAATCGAACCCTGGCCGCCCGCGTGGCAGGCGAGCATTCTACCACTGAACCACCGATGCTTTAAAAAAATCAAATTCATTTATCGTCGCGACCAGTGCTGCGCCCTAGCGGTAAAAGACTGGAACTAACGCTTTTTGGTTTTTTATTTAAAAAAAAAGCACATTAACTTTTTTAGTTTTTTGAATAGCCTATATGTTAAACGAAATCTTCAGCTACCTACATGCGAAATTCCATAATGATTGAGTCAGTAGATTTTGCGTGATGCGATAACAAACATCGATTTCGCATTTTATTTTTATATATATAAGGAAAGGATTAAGAAAAAGGCATCTCCTTATCGTGCAACTGAAAGTTGCTGATGGCTTGCGCCATCTATCGGAATAAATATCAACTACTCTCGTTGATTTTTAATAATTCTAGAATTGGCCAAATACCCATTCTTGATTAAATTAAGAAAAGGAGATGCCTTTTTCTTAATTTATGCACCTTATCCCAGTACAATGTCACATTTGTACTATTTTTTCATATATATATATGTTCCCGGCTTCACCCGATTTTTACCTGAGTAAAAGTTTGCCTAACAAACATTTGTTGAAATGATTCTAGCAAACATCCAATCCCTACTGAATCCATACATGTCTATACTCTCGATAATTTGAAAAATTTCCCGGTCCCTTGAAAAATATTCGATGAGTTGAAAAAATCAGAATTAATTGGTCCACTCGGTAATTTGAAGTTGACGGAATAGTATCTTGCCACAAACGAAGATTTGTATTTAGCGAATGTACCCGGCTTCGCCCGGTTTTTATCCTAGTAAAAGTTTGCCTAACGAACATTTGCTTAAACGATTCTAGAAAACATCCAATCCACCTATATATTGATTTATAAACGTATATAAATATAAATATTTTTATATGCGTTTAAATATATTTTTCAAAGACATAATTTTTTGAAAACATTTATTATATTTTAAATAAGATATTGTCACTTTTATGAATTTGTTATCTATTATTTCTTTTTTTCTCAATGAATTATAAATATTAATTTAAAAAATTACTTTTGTTATCATCATCACCTACAATGTAATTTTTTTTATATAAACAAACGATAATAAACAAAAACAACAATGTTTTTTGCATTTCATTATTATAAAACAACAACAAATTAAATTAACAATGTAAAATATATTTTAACATTACATTTTAACATTTAACACAAAAACGTTACAATATTTTCTTTAAATATATATTAATATTAAAATGTCAATTTTTTTACGTCAATAGAATATTATATTATCAAATTAAATTTATTATACTTTTTTTTTTGGAACACATTTTAAGCCAATGCTTACAATTTATAAATATAATTTCACCAGAAGCCTCGAGAGGCGCTGCTTGCGAGTGAAAGTAGAAAATTTGCAAATAAAATTGCAAAGAATATTTATTTCAAATCAAATTCAAACCAGAAACCTTCCCAGTAGTATAGTAAATAACTTCCTTAGGTTTAATGGCGATTGGATAATCTTACCATTTAAAAACATTCATCGTGTGAACAAACTAACATTCATGTGTAAACAAACCACGTGTAAATTATTAACCAATCAAATTCATTTATCGTCGCGACCAGTGCTGCGCCCAAGCGGTAAAAGGCTGGAACTAACGCTTTTTGGTTTATATTAAAAAAAAAACATTAACCTTTTTAGTTTATTGAATAGCCTATATGTTAAACGAAATCTTCAGCTACATACATGCGAAATTTCATAATGATTTATTCTGTAGTTTTAGTGCAACGCGATAACATTCATCGATTTTGGATTTCATTTTTATAGATATAAGAATTATCATTCATTATCCAATTAATAAAATTTTGCTCTCTAAATTTATTTTTCAAATTTTCACTCTAATCATTTGTTATTACGAGGGACAATGATTTTCCGTTTCTATTCAATATCACACACTTCACTGTATCTGAAAAATATATTTAGATTTCTTTTTTACCTTTCGGAATTTTGTATAACTGGGTTACATATAGCTTTTATTCTCTTGATAATTAATGCCGCATTATATATACACTCAGGGACAAAACTTTTTGTACCTTTTAACATGTTTATCGTGATTCAGACAATAACTCTAAAAGATATTTGATACAAAGTAACTTTTATTGAAGAAATACGAGATAACCAAGTTTGAACAAAATTTCCTCATCCTCCTTAAAATAATAGACGACCGGCGATATCAAAGACTTTACACTTCCTTAAGTTTTGTCCATGAGTGTATATACACTGCGACATTAAAAATTTCAAGATAATAAAGGCTCTCTATATATGTAACCCATTTATATAAAATTCCGATTTTTTTTAGATACCGTGAAGTGTGTTATATTGAAGAGAAACGGAGAATCATTGCTCCTCGTTATAACAAATCGTTAGAGTGAAAATTTGCAAAAATAAATTTTGAGCAAATAATTAGTACTTGGAATAATGAATGATAATAATAATACTATATGGCAACAAATATCGTTTAAGAAACTGATAATTTATATTAGGCTGATTATTGCCAGACACTTCTTTCTTTTGTACACGGTTCTTTTTTCTCGTTTTTTTTCCCTCTTTCTTTGTTAATATCCTATAACTATTCTATTCACGGCCTTAAATTATTTTATATATATTATATAATCTAAAATGCAAATATTATATTTAAAAAAAAACATGTATTTTATTTTCATCATTGATTTTTTTTTAACCATAGTTTTAGAATTATTTTTGATTATTGTTGTAAATATGTATAGTCAACCCACCTATTTTTTAATTCACGAATATAGGTTTCATTTTATAAATTCTATATTACTGTGAAAAATATTTAATGTGTTGACCACAAAGTCTGAATTCTAGGTTGCTCTGTGTAACCGACGTTCTAGATATGGAACAGCGCTGTGTCACTTCCCTTCGTTCTAGTTGTACTATCGACGTTGTTACAGGATCTAGCTAGTGATTTAGCACATGCAGTACTGGGACAGCGGGTTGGGTGTTATTGATATCATCCCTGAGGTGAGCACAACGTCAGCTGCTAATATTTATTCAATATATTCTGCGCTATGACAGACCTCGCATGTCGCAGAGAGACAGAACATCCTAAGCAATAATAATTCGCCATGTCTCAAAAAGATACCCACAGAGAAAAAAGTTGAAATGAGTCGAGTAATAATTGTAAAAGAGAATATTAAGGACCGCAAAAGACTGGGAGCAGCCAACTCTCTACGTAAGATGTATTCCTAAGTAGGAGTATGCGTGGTTGAGATGTGGTCATTCCACGTTGGGCGACCCACTACTCTGTGTACATACGCAACGTGTATCAGGACCTCCCTCCCCCGATCTCGCTCCACAGACCCAGGACTAGGTATTGATTTCTAGGCTGTTGGTTCTAACCCTCGCGTGTGACGTAAGTCCGGCTTTCAGCGTTGTCAGTATCAGCAGTCCTGTCTCTAGTCCGCTCCATTCCACTTTGTTGTCAATATAATAAGTAAAATAAGATATATTGAAATCTATAAAAGCATCCCCAAATTGTTTGTGAAAATGTTTCTTTCAAATAACAAAAATAATTTCTGACGATAGCAAAAACAAATCTAAATGAGTCTGGAATGATCTATTGACATGCTTTATCAAAACCATCTAATAAGTGCGTTAAAAAACGATGGAAGAATGAAAGATGCTAGGATAGACTTGCAGAAGTTGCTATATTCTAAATGGAAAATAGACATAAAATAAGTAAGATTTGTGAAGAGTCTCATGACTTTTTCGTATAGTGCGCTCCAATAATTCTCAACTATTATTTTTGTTATGAAAAAGGCATCTCCTTATCGTGTAACTGAAAGTTGCTGATGGCTTGCGCCATCTATCGGAATAAATATCAACTACTTTCGTTGATTTTTGGCCAAATACCCATTCTTGATCATCAAGAAAAGCTAACCACGGACGCGTTTCGGGCTGTTGGGCCTCATCAGCGTGGTGCAAACTGTACCTCAACGACTAAAAACTGGCCATTCAGGCTTCTTGAAAAATCATGAAACGGGTAGTATAGGCCATAATTACGTGAGACCGCGACACAATGTGAAAAAAAAGTACAAATGTGATATTGTACTGGGATAAGGTGCAGGGCAACAGCCCGAAACGCGTCCGTGGTTAGCTTTTCTTGATTAATCAAGAAAGGGTATTTGGCCAATTCTGGAATAATGAAAAATCAACGAGAGTAGTTGATATTTATTCCGATAGATGGCGCAAACCATCAGCAACTTTCAGTTGCACTATAAGGAGATGCCTTTTTCATAATTTATGCACCTTATTCCAGTAAAATATAACATGTGTACTATTTTTTCATTTTATTTTTGTATTAAAATAAATCTTGGTGTTTTTCGCGTTATTCGTCAAATAATTTTTGTTTTTCACACGGTAGCGTGTGATTTGGCAAATTGATACAATTTGGATGATCAGGACCAATAACACGCTGATGTTTAACAGAAAAGGCAATAGAATTGGCATTAAAATGTTTTATATTCCAATATAAACACCAGATTTACCTTTTTTAATCAATTTTCAATCAAATATTTGAAAAAAAAAACAATTTTGGGCTCCTGGGACAAGTTTGCTCATTTGCCACCAGCACTGGCTCACATCACACGCTAGCGCGCAACAGCAGCGAAAAGGTAACTTGAGAGATCACACATATTATTCTCACATTTAAATTCTTGCGATGATTTTCTGTTCACTAGACCTAAGATTCCGTCGAAAGGTTGCGCGCATGTTTAATGACATTGAAGACATTTAAAAGTCTGAAACATCTACTCTACGGGAAATACCATAAGAACTAATGCAAAAATAGTTTCCATAATTTTTTAGAAATCCTTTTACATATTTTTAGGGATCAATCGGTCTATCAATAAAAAAAGGTTATATATCGAATAAAATGTTTGAATTGTTCATACACGTTAATTTATATATAAATAATATTACTTATAAATGACTGCGGCGTATAATTATAAAGCTATACAACCAGTTTAACCGCAT